GGGGCTCCGTCACGGGAACCCGGCGCTGGGGCCGCCACGTCGGGAGCGCGGCCCGGCTCGCTGTGTGCCCGCGGGAGGCGGAGGGGACCCCCGGGAAGCCGGGCTGCCCGCCAGAGTAAGGGCACAGTCGTTCTTGAGCGGCTTTCACGACCCCAAAGCAAGGTAGCACCGAGGGCACCAAACACTTGTTGCAGCTGACACGAGTTACCCAGGAAAATTACCCCCGGTATTATTTTATTGCCTTACAGGCGACGCAGCTCACAACACTTCTGCCCCGTTTTCCTGTAGGCCCTGGCACAGGTTGCACAGCATCTCCAGTACTCCAGGGTTTCCTCCAGCTTCAGTTTTACCTGCCATAAAACGGCCACATAATATGGCCGGCTGTCAATCAGTCTTGCTTCTACTCCTGAGACTCAGACTTCTTTTCACCCGTGGACACCTTCAGTCTGTTAGACGGCTTGGGATCCTTCTCGCCCATTCTTGGTTTCTTCTCACTCATTGATCAGTCTCTCCTAAGGATCTCCAGCCCTAGGTTGGAGCTGTTAGCAGCCTGCTGTGGTTCTGCAGTTGGTTCCTTTCTTGTATCGTATCTGTCATAACTGCCTTGTGGAGAAAGACTTGGAGCTATTAGCAGGTGGAAAAATATGAGCCAGCACCGTGTGCTGGCAGCCCAGAAAGGCAACGGTGTGCTGGGCTGCACACAGAGCAGGGTGGGCACAGGGCCAGGGGGGGATTCTCCCCTCTGCTCCGCTCTGGGAGAACCCCTGCAGGGCTGGGTCCGGCTCTGGGGCACTAACAGCAGAAGGACATGGACCTGCTGGAGCGGCGCCAGAGGAGGCCACGGAGATGCTTGGGGGGGCTGGAGCACCCCTGTGAGGACAGGCTGAAAGTTGGGGGGTTCAGCTGGAGGAGAGAAGGCTCTGGGGAGACCTTAGAGCGGCCCCCCAGGGCTGAAAGGGGCTGCAGGAACGGGGGGAGGGACTCTGGATCAGGGCGGGAGGGATAGGATGAGGGGTGACAGGTTTAAACTAACAGAGGGAAAATTTAGATGAGATGTAAGGAAGAAATTCCCCCCTGTGAGGGGGGTGAGGCCCTGGCACAGGCTGCCCAGAGAAGCTGTGGCTGCCCCCTCCCTGGAAGGGTTCAAGGCCAGGTTGGACGGGGCTTTGGGCAACCTGGGCTGGGGGAAGGTGGCCCTGCCTGGGGCAGGGGGTGGGACTGGGTGATCTTTAAGGTCCCTGCCAACCCAAACCATTCCATGATTCAATGATTTGTAGGTCTCTTTTCTCGCTAGAAGGGTGCAGTGGAACCCTGGCCCTTTCCCTTATGCTCTGACACACTGACAGTAACTGTCCTACCCAGATGCCAAGTTTCCTAGGACAGCTCTCTGTTGCCTGAGGGTTTAGTATATGGTGAACTTTTAGTTCTTCAGTTCATCACTACTCATGTGCCAGCACTGTCAAAGATCCCTTCCAGCAGGTTCTGTCTTGGCCAACAAGCTCATGACAGTCTCCATGACTGTTTTTACACATAACCAGGAAACCACTGTTACAGACAATTTTTCCTTTGGCCCTGAGCAGTTGAAGTTTGTTGTAACATACTGAATCCCAGTATAGAGCACAATCAATAAATACACTGCGCCTCATGCAGTTCCAGTCTTGTGGGACAGCTGCACTCTCTCCAGATGAAAAATGCATGGTATTTCATTCAAGCACTCTGAACCCTGTCTCTCAAAGTACAGCTTTATTCCACAGAAGGCTCACAAAGCAACTCTGAAAGAAAATTCCTTGATCAAAAGACTTCAGGGATATAAAGACAGATAAAAAATGTCATCTTATTTTCTATAGTCCATTCTCAGCTGCATAATTTATAATCACTCCTCCTCATCTGAGAACAAGTTCATGGGTGAAGCTGCATCTACTCTCTTTAGAAAAAAAGCTACCATCTCAGCTATTTTGGCAGGAAATAGGACCAATTTTATTTTTTTTTTTGTCTCAGGCATGCAGCTAGGTGCAAATTATGAACCCAATCCTTATGCAAGTTCTTCTATTTGCTGATTACTACTTATTCTCCTTTAAAGAAAATCTGATTTTTACATTCACCTGAAGAAGGGAGGTGCACCCAGAGAAGGAATGTACCCCTCATCTAAAAAGAAACTTGTTTTCTTTTAAGATATGACCAAACCAGGAATATAAAGCACACTCCTACAGCATCCTGCTGTATTTGGGGTTCTGTTAGGTTGCCTGCAGCCTCCCACTAGAGATATAAAAGTATTCCAGCATGAGCTGTAGACTTCTGTTCCACTGAGCCATCTGTCTTGAGCTCTGGAAGCCATGCCCAGCTCTTCGTCTCTGCCGCCTGCCGTGGCTTTGTTGGACATCACATCACTTTGTTGGACAGTCTCAGCACACGTGGCTTGAGAGCAGAGAGCCAGCTGAGGCAGCCTAACGGTCCACGAGCAGACAGCACATCTACCTCATGCCAAAGGTGATTCGATGGAATTGTTTTGTTACACTGAGCATGACAAATAACTCATTTTCATGCCTGTCACTGCTCCACTAGCAAAACCATGGGCTGCTGACTTTGCGCCGTTCCCAAGCTTCCTTCTGAGACATCACATTGCAGCTCTACCTGACCTATAGACTGAGTTTGCCTGCTACTCATGTTTTTCTTAACTCTTCCAAACGATTATTGTTTTAACCATCATCTCAATGCATCATTAAATTTCTTCATTTTAATATTAGCAGTTATTGACAGGAACAGTTAATGTCTTCCCTCCTAGATCTGCCAGAGAAAATGTATGTCCCACTTTCACAAGAAAATTTTTACCATTACTTTTCAGTATCCTCTTACAAGATACTAAAGTGCTTGTTTCTCACAAGCTCTGCTCTACTACTCTTTCTGAAGAGCTGTACCTGTTTTATTTTGAATTCTGTTCATTCCAGCCAGATCCACAGTTCAGCTGGAGCTCACCGGGTTGTTGATCTAACAGCATAAAAGCTGGAATGTCAGTCTAAGGCTACTGCTTTTCCCAGTCTGCAGTTTAAGGGCAGGCCAACATATAGGAAAGACTATATAATGGTGGGGATAACAGGGATCAGAAATCCCTCAAATAATAAGTGTGTAGTTTGGGACACGATGGCAGATGGCCCATCGAGGTCCCAACAGCAACTTTTTTCTGTCGTTTACCTCTAGCTCAGCACCGGCCCCGATACACAGGTCCTGTGCAGCACCTCTGGCATTCCAAGGACTCTTCCACAGCACTCTATGTAGCTTCTTGCTTCATCTGCTCCCAGGCTGCAGGTTAGAAGACAACATTCACAGGATGCTTCTCTCTGGAGTCAACAGTCTGAACGCCTATACAATTGTTTTAATTAATATCAGTTATTATTTCATAGCTGCTTTGTGGCTGGAGCATGACTCTTCTCACCTTCAGACAGCAAGTTCTGCTGCAGTTGCTTTAAACCACCTCCCCTGTTGAGCTCTGCCTACAGACCCGGCTCTTGTACTCTTGCACTGAGTTGTGTTTAGCGATTCTATTCTCGGCGGTTTTTTCCTCCTCTCACGCTCTTTCTTCACAAGCTTCTGCATGGTTTATTAGGCCTTAAATCTCACCCCGTAACACTCCGCACGCCCCGCTGGGCAGACGCTGGGCTCCGGCCCATGGCAGGAGCTTCTGTTCGCCCCGCCGGTCCCCTTCAGGAGCCGCCCAAGGGCAAAACCCGCAAACCGCGTCCGCACGCCCCCCCGTGAGCCCCTCACAGACCGGGGCCG